GACATGTAAAAGACTAGTAAGAGACTTGAAATTTTTCAAGAGCAACCTCCCCTAAATAAAACAAAACTGAAGCATGTTTCAAGTAAGCTGATGCAATTAATCCTGTTATTGGTTCTAATGTAGCTATCTGGTATTTGAAGAGGTTAAATGATTTTGTTGGTAGCTGTTGGTACTTGTTTCTATGACAGAACTCTATTGATTGAGTTCCGTATTTGTTTCTGACTTGAACAAATTCTTCTAGTCTGCCATTCGTAAGAACAGTCAACATAAGGTGAAAAGGTAAATAACCTCAACAATCAGTCAGGGCAAACAGTGAGGTTGAAGTGTAACTGCTGCCGAAGTTCTGACCTTACAGCCAGTATTTCTCTTAGAAACTGCTTGCCTTGATTTTCATCTCCTGTGCAGACAGGATTTCAAGGATGTCTTCTTGCTTAGGGGATGCTGCTCATGGAGAAGTAAAGGTTACACCCTTTGGGCTAGTGATTTTATTATTTTTTTGGTAACAAAACCAACATCATTAGTGGAATTCTAGTCTGTCTTATTTTCTCAAGAGGAAGTACATATACAACCAACAGCCTTGGTTAAGCCTAAAAATGTCACAAATTCCTGAAGTTACAGCTCAAAAGATCTTTCTACCTGTGCACTGAACCTATTTGAAATGGAAATAAATTTCCCATGGAACTTGGGATTCCTGTTCATGGTCATATATCAGATTGCAGCTGTATTATGCAGTGTAGTTTCATGAACCATATATGAGAAATGTTTGGTTTATTTTTAAGTCTTTGAAGGTATTTGAGTTGTTCCCCCAAAATCCCTTTCTGAAAGGGATTGTTTCTTCTCTTCCCTCCAATGCACCTCTAAAGTAACAGCAAAATGTCAGAACAAGTATCTGTGAACACGTGCAATGTTTCTGTGTTTTCTGAAACAAAGTGGGAATATTTAATGCATACCTACATTTTTTTAGTCACAAAGATTTCATGTTCAGGGTGTGGGAGATGGAAAGCAGGAAAAAAGTATCTTTGAAAGGCAAGTAGTTCAATAATTGTGTTTATCATCAAGACAAGTGGTTTGGGTTTATTAATTCATTGCATAATCTGCTGCCTGAAACTGGTTTGTTTACATTATGGTTGCCACGAATTGGACTTAAGGGGCCTCTTATCATGTGCTCTGGTCGTGTCATTATGTTTGATAGGTTTGGGGTTTGCCAGTAAATGATGACAAGGTTAATATTTGGTTATTGTGTGTTATGAGCTCTCCTACATAAAACCTGATCATGAGCAGTTTTAATACATAGCAAAATATTTAACTGATGTGAGAAAGACATGTTTGTCTTCACCTTAAGTAGTTTTCTGTACCTTTTTGTGAGAGGAATAATTACTGAACATCAGGGCTCAGCCTTAGGTTATGCTGCTATTAATTCAGAGTAACCTGTCATCTTTCTTAGAGCTATTCTATAATTCACCATGGTAATTAAAATTCAAATATTATCCTGAAGCTGTTCAATTTCCATTCTACTTGGACACTGTTACATGTAGACTAGGTGCTGTTTTGTCTTTCCAGAATTAGCTTTCTACAAAAACTTCTCCTCTTGTACTAGTATTATTTGGGAGGACCATCAAAATGTGGCTAACCCGTTAGCATAAACTGGCAACAAAGAAACATGCTATGTGTTCACTGTGCAAAATGCTCTCTATTTCTTCAAAGTGCAGAATCCGATATATAATTTAAATCTGAATAGCTCCGAGTGTGCTTACTATGGGTCCTTTTCATGTTTTGGATCAACATTTGGAAAGAGGAAATGAAATGGGTGAGCCAGTACATGCAGTGCCTGTGGATTCCCGGGGCAGGGAGGAGATCCAGCATAAAGTGGCTTTTGCCTGATGTATAGCACAGGGAGTCTTTGGTTGGGAGAAAAAGAAAACGCAATTAGAGTCACAGTCACTGCTATCCAAACAGGCTAGTAAAAAGTGTTCTAGAACACTCCAAAATAAACTCCAAAAATAATCCAGCACAAACCATGTAGAAGGAAGTGCAGTTTTAAAAGTTGTATTCATTTCAGAACATGTTTTGGCAGTATTTTTTGGTAAGAGAGATGAAAAAAAAACTTGTTTCTAACCAGTCAAAGCCCCAAGACTTGAGGCTGCAGTGAGTGAGAGCTGAGAGGGACAGAAATAACCCCCCGTGCGCATCAGGTTTTCCAGTCTTGTGGCCGCAGGTGAATGGGTGTTTTATGGGGCAGCTCCACGGCAGGACAGGCTGAGGGAGGGAGAGAGGGAAGTTGGGAGGGAGGGAGGGAGGGCAGAGCCACACGAGAGCTCAGTCAGTGCCTGACGTTGTTGAGTGTCTGTCGGTGCCTGGAACACTCGTGGTGGCTGCAGTAGCACTGCCAACTATTAGCTAAGTGCATTGCTTTGGCAGCAGATGCTCAGAATGGACTTTTTACAAAGAAAGAGAATAAGTTCATGTTGTAAGTACGAAAATCTATAAGGGCAATTATTTCGAGGGCCATTTGGACACTCACCCTGAATTTCTGTGACTTCCCAAATAACTTTCTAGTCTGCATATACAAACCCTAAAATTTTATTTGTATTTCTTGATTTTTTTCCCAGCTTTCTTTTAACATTTTCCTTTTCAAGCATTTACAAACCTATACTAACTTTCAAAGCTAAAGAGTCTAAAATGTATCTGTTCAGTTGACTTGGTGACACAGAAACACTATGGTCAAAGTGCATTCATCTCCAGCCTTAAAATAACAGGACCTCGTCCGTTACTTCAAGTGTTTGTGTAACTACATTGTATTTACTTTTCTATTGCGTATGAGCAACTAATTACTAGAGTACCTCTCAGTTCTCATAGTATTTATGTTTCTGTAGTCACCAGCACCTTTAAATATGAACAGAAAAATCACAGCACTGTGTGGGCTGTACAGAAGGACTCAGAAAAACTAAATATATATTTAAAACAACACACAGCACCTGTGTCTCTGCCATCCCTCGTCCTGCATTGAGCTCCTTTCAGGAGTCAAGGGGTTGTCTGTTCTCATTGTATTCTGATTCTTTCTTCTGAGTCTCTTGTAGCCTGTTGTGCAAAGAGTCATAGAGGTGAGGTTTAGGGCATGAAGAGAGTCCTGAAAAGTCAGGAGAGATGTGTTTGCTCCTGAATGACCTCCTGTTTCCCTATAAGCAGTAATTCAGAGCCATATTTTACATTACATAGTTAAAGACCTGCTGTATCATCCTGCTTCACAGGAGAGAAGGTTCTTGTTTCAAAGAAACCAAGATTTGGGATGATGTAACTTGGGAATGATGGACTGGCAGGAAAGAAAGGTGTTAACATACCCGGGCGCATTGAAAATGCTTCTACTTTATGTAGGAAGGATACCAAATCACTAACCTGCACTTTGGGGAGACAGGTTTGGATGCCTGAGAAGATGAGAAGGTTCTCATTAACAGTTCTGTCATTCATTTTATTGAGCCACATTTTTTAATTATCTACATCGTCTGGGAGCTTTTCCGAGCAGCTGAAGGATCTGAAGCATTATGGGATAAGTTTGCTGACTAACTCAAGGGTTCTCAGAGTATGGATGACAGGAAACAAGATTTGCAAAGCATGTTGAACAGTTAGTACATCCTTTCATTTTCAGCTTGAAAAAAGAAAACTGCAATTGCACAAGGTAACAAATAGCAGGGACACACAGAGCAGTCCCATGCAGGGCCTGGCAGTGATGTGCAGCTGGAATCCCAGTACTGTGGGTAGCTCTGTGGGCCTGTCTGGCACTAGCACAGCACAAGTGCAGGTTAAACACTGCAGGCACCCGTAGGGCAAACACAGGGGGGACAGCTGGAAGGTTGATTGAGGGATAGATGGATTACTGAGGAGGTGTTTCAGTGAACTAGCTGTGGAGCTGAACCTGCCAGCCTTGCTGTGGAAATGCAATGCCAAGAAAACACAGCTCCAGTTAGGGTTTTCAGATGTAGCCCAGTTTGGGAATCTGATGGTGGCCCTGGCACTTCCAGTGTTTGTAATGGCTCCTAGTTGGGAGCTGGTAACAGGTCTGATTTGGGTGAAGTCAAACTGGGCACTTGAGGGCCCTTCCAACTCCTCAGCAGTGTGTTGCAATCTCCCAGGCAAGGCTGACACACACTCAGTGTGTCAGTGCCAGGGCGAGGAAGGGAGTGGGGATGATGTGGCCATGTGTGCCAGGCAGGGTGATGTGTTTGGCTGCACACAGGGCAGGACCACAGCAGGCAGTTTACATTGGTTTGTGCACAGAACCACACCCAAGGGATTGAGGGATTTTCCCTCTATATCCTCCTGAAGCAAAATGAAACAATTCAGCTTTTAACTGCTCAGTTCAGAGTAAGATGGGTAGGCTTGTGCTGGAAGACAGCAGAGCAGAACTGGCATGTTGAGGATCTGCTGAGAGGATGCTGAGAATTCTGCTTCGTGTTGGCTGTTGGTTAATGCCATATGGTCAGGCCGTAACCGCTGATAAAACAGAGAAGGAATTCATCAGGGTGTGTATCAGATCTGTTTTAGCAGGTGTGCTCTGACTGAACTGAAAGGTTACTTTGTGGGTTCTGAAGGTGCAGTTATTCAATAAACACTGAAGTCTAATTTTCAGACTAAAGCAGAGAGCAGCTATTTGGATAGGAATGACTTGTGTGCTATTCTCTGACTTGGCAAGAAATGAGGTTGTTACTAAACCAATAAGAGGTATTCTGGAGAGAAGGAAGTATTTATTTTGTCTGGCACTCCATGTCCCTTTTGCATAACAATGCAGGATTAGTTATTCTTCTGTCACTTGGGAGCTGCTTGGTTTGTCTGTGGCCAGAGCTAGTTATTTAAACTGCTGTGATGAGCAACAAGAAATTTCCTATCCCTCTTAAATAGAGTCTAGTTAATGAGTATATTAGTTAAATGTATTTTATTACTGCTCTTTGTTAAATAACTTCAGAACTCTAGGAAAGAAACCAATATGGTTGTGTGTTTATCAACAGGCCAAGTTCTGGTAGAAATTTCAAGAACACACAAGAAACTTAATGACAGTCTAGAGGAGAGTGTAAGTTAAACAATTTCTTTTTCTAAAACTCATTTTCCTTTTGAAATTCTAAAATACTTTTGCCAGTGTTTAATAACCCTTCATTCATTTGCTTTTAAAGTTCAAAAAATTTCATAAAGAAATTATATCTGAACTGGAGAAGAAAACTGACCTGGATGTAAAGTATATGACTGTAAGTACATTCGATTCTAAAACTCCCATTTTATTTGTCTATCAAAGTATCTTTTCAGAAATCATTCCCCATGAGTTAATTAAAGTAACTGATACATTAGAAAGGAGCTTTAGATACATAAATATGGCCAAATTCTGCATAAAGAAATTCTCTGGTGTGTCTGAGCGATATCTCATGTATCATAGTGATGCTTTCTAGTCACTTAACAGCTCTGTGGCTGAGTGCATGTTGTAAATGCTTTGATTGCAGGCAACTTTAAAGAGGTACCAAACTGAACACAGAAGCAAATTGGATTCTTTAGAGAAGTCTCAGGCTGAGCTGAAAAAAATCAGAAGGAAAAGCCAAGGAGCACGAAACGTGACAAAATATGAGCATAAAGAAATGGAGGTCAGTGCATTGTCTCTTATTTGTTTCTTTCTTTGTATGAGAAGTGTCAACAGAAAATGTTAATGGTTCCTCAGACTTGGTTTATATTAAAGGCACTCCCAGAGCATATATTCCAGTTGAAATTGAACTCACACTGCTCCACTGAATGTATACAGAGATTTCTGCTCTAGTTATTAGTTTTCATCCCTCAACCACTACTTGATATTTTTAAAGTACCTCTGTAACGACACCTTTATGCAGAGTTTTACACAGGGAGTCAGGCTAAGCTGTGTAAATTGAGTAGCAATTCGCTATAATTTCCCAGAGTAGGCAATGCCAACTTGTGTTACTAGCGCTTACCTTTCCTCCTGCCCTCGATCCAGCATTGCCATCTTGAGGCCAATCTTGAAATGACACGGAAGAGAAACGATTAATAAATCATACTTTGGTTGTCATGTGTCTCTCCAAAACTGCTTACTATTGGTATTTTTATTTGCACAACACTTCGTGCTAGCTTATACATTTTTTCCTCCCTTTTTTTCTATTTTGATTTTCAAACAAAGCTCTGTATGTACACTAAATACAGATAGGAATAGCTCCTTTCTTACTGCCCATCTTTTAACCTGCATTCCTAATCCTTATTTCTTTTTTAAGGTATTAGATTGAGAGTTCAAGGATTAACATTTAATCACAGTTTAGTCATGAATCCTTGTTACCTCAGAGAAATATAGTTTAGTCTTTGTAGTAACTTATTTTCTCCCCTCTTAAGTGAAGTAGAAACTCATCACAGCTTTGTGTGAGTAAATGGAAGTGCTGTGGAGCAGACGAAGGTAATTAGCCTAATTAGAACATCTGTGGCTCAGCACAGTCACTGCTTTGTTGACATATTCTTATCTACTGCAGTGTTTTAGTCAGAGGCTGAAAGATTGTTCCTTGTTTTGCTTTGCTCTGCACTGCCCCTAAACGGGCTGTTGATTGCCTGTAGGGAGAACACACATTTACCTGATGAGATAGAGGGAGCTCAGATGTGTGTGTGAAAAGAGAAAGACTCGGAAGTAGAGCCACCCTACCCCAGTCCTCCTTTCCAAAAGCTTTTTCTAAGGCTTTTGGAGTTTATGTCAGTAATTGGATATAGTATCAAATAAAACTCAGGAGCTCTGTGTGATATATTTTTTCCCTTAGTACTTGGACACTCTGAAGCTTCGACAGGAAGACATTCAGCAGTTTATAGCAGAAGGCTGTACAGAGGCTCTCCTTGAAGAGAAGAGAAGGTTCTGTTTCCTGGTTGACAAACACTGCAGCTTTACCCAGCACATGCACTTCTACCATGCCCAGGTCAGTGTTGTGAACATAAACTGAAACTCCTGAAATCCAGTCATAGAGGAGATCTTCAGTATCTCCTGCAGCATGTAGATCAGACTGCCAGAAATAGCCAAGGAATCCTGTAGTGACAGGGAAGTCTTGTGATCAGTTCATAGAAAATGCTTACAATGCTGTATTCTCTTAAATGTGTTTGTAGCAACAGTCGGGGGTTGCTGGGACTTTTTAAAAATCATATATGAAGAAAAATATATGTGGATTGATCAGGTATTTCCAGTATCTGACCCTGAAAAAGGACAGCAAATGTATGATTTGTTTCAAAGAGGTATTACTCACAGAAATCTTTGAGAAGACTTTTATTTTGCTGGTGGTGTCACTTTGGAATAATGAAGGTTACCCAATAGGTCTGTGCAACGTTATGACAAAGCAAATCTTTGACAAGAACCTTTTAATTTGGATGCAGTGTGCAGACTTCCTAAAATCCAAGCTGCCTGGGTGGCAGGAGATCTGTAGTGATGCCACCAAAGTGCCTGAAAAAGTCAAAATGATGATAGAAGAAATAAGGACACCTGGGTCCACCCCTGGATCAAGGACACCACAGCCCTCACCAATGATAGAGAGAAACACCATGGTAGGTTGTCCTTTGATGGTCACAGAGTTTGCTAAGTGGGAGGAGAGTGGCTTCACTAGCTCCTGTTGTACCTAAGCCTTTGGGATTTGGGATGGAGTCTGTAATGTACCTCAGTTGTGTATGGAACCAAAATCTTTGAGCTGAAGCTCTGCTATGGGAAAAACACCCAGTGTAGCTGGGAGAAGCAGGTGTCCAATATGAACTTAAACAAAATGTTATTTTCTATTTCTTTCCTTCTTCCCTTCATGATTCTTATTAGAGTACAGGTTAAATTCTCATTTCTATCTATTTGTATGTTGTGTCATCATTAACTGGTGAATTTCTAAATGAGAATAGTAAACTTCTAAGCAAGAAAAATCTGGAGATCATTATGCTATTTGTGGAAAAAAGGCTATGGTAGCCTTCCCACTGACAAGGGACAGAAGCCTCTTACTAACATTCTTTCAACAATTCCACAGAAACATGTGGGCTTTATGACAGGTCTAAATATACATCATTTGGGAATATTTAAGCATTGCTCTCTAGAATTTAATCTTGCAACTAAGCTATCACTATCTCATCAGTATTATGATCCTGATTTTTATCCTCAGTATGAAAATGCATCCCACATGCCCCCAGCCCCCACGGGCAGGGCATACACCAGCCCACTCGTCGATATGTTCAACAATCCTGCAGCAGCTTCCAAGGCACCTTCTGAGAAACAAAATCATTCAGCAGGTGAGTTCCTTCCTTGCAAACTAGTTAAGTGTGAATGACACCCCATAGTGTTCAAAATGACCTCAGGGTTTCCTGACTGCTGTGATGATGTGAATTCCAGGATGTAGAGAGGAGTAGGAAATGGTCTGTACAAAATATTTCTCTAAGAGGAGAGAGATGTGCTATAAGAGAATTGTTTGCAGTAAAATGCAGGTCAAGACAAGTAGATTCTATTTTAATCACTTTGTGTGTCACTGATTAACCCAACTTAATTGCTCTTATGACTTGCAATGCTATGAGCAGAATGTATTCTGCAGTTCTGCAGAGGCTATATCCCAGGGATTGTTTCAGTGCACACAGACAAACATAAACACTCTGCAGTGTCACTTTGGTTTCTTTTAAGGGCACATAGCAGTGAGAGAGGAATACACATGGGACAAAATGAGCACAGTCTTGTCTTTCTTTCCCGAAATGTAAAGTCCTATTAAGATTCGTTTCCCAAGTTTCTAATTAGGGATTTTTTTACCTTCCTTTGATATAGGTAAGGGAAAGAACTAAACCTAGATCACAGCATAAGAAATGCAGAACTCTTCAACGTGGTGATAGCAATTCCAGCATTTCTTCCTTAAAAATGCATTTACAACATATTGTACTACTCAAATAACAGAGTTTGAGCCTTCTTTATTTTGTCCTCTGGTAAACATCTGGTTTAAACATCCACAAAGCAGAAAGCATCTGCAGCTCTCCTGGATGCAGCTGAAGCTCAGTGCTAGGCACATTTGAAAGTAAAATCTTGGATTTTACACACAGTTACCTTTATTTGAATGAAAAATTTTCCAAGACCTTTTACGGCTGTGATTGTTTAGCACTTTTCATGCCAAAAGAGGGAAAAAGTTGCCAGTTAAAACTTAAAAACTTTTTATGCCTGTTGATTCAGCATTACTGTGCTGAGTGTGTGTGTGTAATTGCATGTGCTGGTAAGACCTTCATGGTGATAAGAAACATTGGCAGGTAACTGAGAGATGTTTAAGTGGAAAGTACAGAGTCTCAGAACTTGATATGCACTTGAGTATTCCTTTTTTTTTTCCTGTCAGACTACTAACTGCATTTAATTCTGTTAGTGTGCGGCTAATTTTGCTTTTCTTTGGTTTTCTTTTTGCGACAGAGCGTTCCGATGACGCCAGTTTATCGCGTTCGACTTCCGTTGCCACGGGGCTAAATATAATGAAAAGGCAAAAAGTGAAGACAATCTTCCCCCACACTGCTGGGAGCAACAAGACACTGCTCAGCTTTGACCAGGGGGACATCATCACACTGCTGGTAGCTGAGGAGAAGGACGGTTGGCTTTATGGGGAGCACGACACAACCAGACTGTAAGAGAATCAATGCATTACCCAGCTTGGACATGAGGGCAATGTGTGTCTCATCACATTTTGTTAGCAGCGATTAGTAAATGGTTTTCCACCTTCTTTTACTGGCTGTCATTGACTGGGGACTTGGAGTCTTTTGGAAAATCATTGCACTTGTCTTAGGGAGGTTTTGCACACTAATTTGGCATCATCAGAAATCAGATCTTCAACAGTTAAATCCATCTGTTGAGTCTATGATTTTGTCCACTGTTGTCTTTTGAAAGACCTTTCCTATTTCATACAATATAAACCCCTTTCCCCTTACAGAAGAGGATGGTTTCCATCATCATACACAAGACCACTAGAAGGATCAGCAGAAGAAAAAGCCTTTGCCCCAGTGCCAAGGTAATATTTTGCAGAAATGCCCAAATCTTCACTAATGTTTATTAAAAATGATATTGTTGTGCTCATGCTCTTTCAGGTTCAGTACCATGTACAGTAAATACTCTCTAACAGTCTGTAGTATGATGCCTTGATCACATTATGGTGTTTTGATGGTTACACACAGACTCAAGAAGTGCCTTTAGAACAATTTTAACTCAGAGCCCCACTGACTTCAGGGCACTGTGTACACTCTTATTAACTTCCAGCTCATGCACTTCTGTGCTTTGCTGAGGCAAAGATAAGCGAGAGATGTTTTATAGGCACTGAGAGTGGTGTTTGTTGGGTTCTGTCTTGCAGCCCTGCACCAATCCGAAGTGTTAGTTCTGTAAATCTGGTGGAGAAAGGTGAAGTTGTCCTCCCCCCACCAGACTACCTGGGGGCTGTGCAGGCAGACAGACGAGCTGAGCCTGCCAAAGGCACCGCGGCGAAAACACCGACGGACAGAGCGGAACACGCGGGGCCGGTAAGGGATCACTGCCAGGAACTCACATGTGCCACCCTGCTCACGCTTCTTGACCTACTTAGCTGTGCTCCTAAACAAGGCCCTGGAATCTTCTGCCTTAGCTACTTGTGCTTGACTTCAGCAGCCCCTGACACAGCTGTCCTCAGGGGTAACAGGGGCTTTGGCATTTCAAACCACCCACAACGACAGGAAGGGAGGAGAACTTTTCGGTGTATAACTGACAGTAGTGAGACTTACTCTGCAGAGCAAACTTCTCAGCAACAGAATCTGTTAAACGTGGAAAGGAATTATAACAGAAGGGAGTACAAAGCCATCATCCTCAGTGATTCCAGGGCTGGGGGGGACGGGGTTTACAGCAGCACAAGCTGTATTTGGGAATGCTTTGTGCAGCCTCATGGAAGTGAGTGTTGGGTTTGTGGCTGTCGCTGAGGGAGAGAAGTACTAACTCAGGGCTGTATTCAGCAAAGCTGCAGCTGAGTCTGAATACATTTCTATGAACAGATAATGCTATACAGAGCTGATGTTTCTGCCATTAAGTGAGCATTCAAACTGATTCAAAAGGAACACTAATCAATTACTAGGCTTTTTCTTGCTGCTTGTTTAACTAAATATTTTGCTGATGTGTATCTAGGGGTGATATTTCTGAGACTTTCTTCAAAAAGCCTCTTGAAGCAACGATCACATCTTGATGGAAAAAAAACCCTAATATATATAAAAGAAGGTTAACACTGTACCAAAGCTACTGTACAGCTAGTTCAGAAGAGCAGTGATAGAGACTACATACAACAGAGACTCTTCTCCCAACCACTGCCAAAGTATCTCTTGCAGATGCAGAAGTTGGAAGTTGACAGTATCTTTCCTGTGGCAGGGAGGGGCAAAAGGCTGGTGCCTCCCATGACAGAAAAATCTGTGCTCCTCAAAGAGCATGAGGAACTAGAAGCAGAGCTGAGTCTTTTAGAACGTAAAGGGTGAAAGTTGTTGATGGAGACTTGTGAAGCTCCTCTCACGGAGAGATCTTACCCCATTTAACTAGACCACTCATGTTTTGTGAAAGTTTGGGGTTTTTTCCATCTAAATATTCCTGTGAAAGCACTTTTTGGGAGCCAGAACAATCTAATATTAGCATATATGTATTTGGATATAGCATATTTGAATCCACATTCAAGGAAGAGGGTTTATTTCTCACTAATGAACCTTATGGTGTGGGAAGTGTCTATTTTGTGTAGTGATGTTGCATTTCTGGGACAATGTTTCCATGAGGAATAAAATCTTTCTGATGCATGAAATGATTATCAAGAAATACAATCTAAATCTTAGTGTTCAGTCACTTTCCAAACAAGTATCTGGGGCCTTCTACAGTGATTCTGAAGACCAGTGTCTACATTTTGATGTATTTGTGGGTTTCATTTTTGGAAGAAGAAGCCACAAGCCTTCATAATGGTGTAATGTCAGAATGTGTACACTGCTCCCTTACCCTGTGGCTCAGTTTTGAAATCCACAGGAGCAACGTGGCCTTCAAGTGTAGTTATGTTCAAAGGTGTCTCAGCCCTTGGAAGGTGCCAAGAGGTCTCTGTGCCGTGACCAGGTGACTTACTATAGAGCTTAAAAAGCCATTGAATCTATGAGATGGTCTCAGTCCCTGTGCTGTGCTATTGTGGTCATTCTGTTCTCAGCATTCACCTGAAGGGCTGTTTTGGTTTGTGGCATTAGTTCAGGAGGTTTAGGAATAAACTTAAGGCTTGTGGACTAACATTCTTGTGGAAATAGAAAACCAAGAGGAATGGCAGGTCAGGTAGTTGGCAGAGCTCTAATTAGAGCAGTACAATCTCTTTGCAGGCCAGAATGGAAGCTGATAGCTCCTAGGAGTGGAAAACAGATGCGTCTTTTTTGATAATCTAAATTTCCACAGGGAGAGCAAGATTAAATTAGGAATTCTGGAGTATAAAATAATGACTACTCTTGCTGAGGCACCTCTAACTCACCCAGCTGCACTGCACTGTGACCCCAGGATTCTTCTTACCTCTTCCCTTGCTAAACTGTAGAGGAGAGCTGCTGCACTTGCACCCAAGGGTTTTGATCCCATGCCACTATTTATTTTCATTCTTTTGGGAAGCTGCAGAGCTTCCTTGTCTTTCCTGCTTCCGTGCAAGTCACCATTCCCCACACCCCCAAAGGCTTTGGAAATAAGCCCAACATTACACCAGGCTGGTTTGTAGGCTCCTACAGGATTTACAGACACATTAACCAGTCTGCTCACTGTGTCTTCTGTGCAGAAACAGGAAATGATTCATTGAGGCATCTTATTTTTGTTTCAGAATACACAGAAAAAAACCAGCTTAGGATTTCAAGAAGGAAAGACAAGGAATGGTTCTTGCCAGTTAAACTGTTCATGCTGTGCTAGAGGACAGTAGCATACACAACAGTATCAACTAAAAAAAGACTTAGTTGACGAAGCTCTGATGAGTGTTGGTGTTCAGTAAGATGTAATCCAGGCATTTATTCATTCTAATTAATTTTAAGGGCTAATTAGGCCTAATTCTAAGGTCTAAGTGTATTTACAATTGATGCATGTGAGCAATTTCATTTGTAATCACAAGTCAAGCACAAGTTAAGAAGTCCCTGCTGAAAGGTCCTGAGTAAATAGAGATTTCTTCACCTGCATTGTGGTATTGTGAATAGGGGAACTGGGAAGTGCTGGTTCAACACTGAGTGCCTGGAAAGGGAGGGCTGACAGGCCTTGGTTCAGCACTGACATTTTCAGTATCAAAACCAAAATGGCTATATAGACTAAATTATTAGTTCCAGTCAAGCTGCTCCATAAAAGGTCACCACATATTCCTGCTTCTACATGCAAGGATATATGTTCCATTTTTCACTTTGAGCTTTATCTGACACCTGTTAGTGGCAATGTAATTAGTTTGCCATTTAAAATATGTAATTAAGAAGGGGGGGGATAAGTAGAAATTAGCTATTTGCCCAAACTCCCACACAGCACAACTGGTTTGCCAAGGGAAACGCTTAGCAAGAGTTTTCCATTCTGTCCCACCTGACACCCTGGAGCAGCCTGGGACAGAGCCACACTGCCACCTCTTGGGTTACCTTCACCTCACAGCAGTGAACTCAGAGGTACAGGACCAACTGCAGCTACACAAACACATCTCTTCACGCTGTACTTGGAACATCACAGTTTCGATCTCATGGAATATTGGCAACAGCTGTGCAAAACTATTCCTCCTTGTGTGTCACTGCCATACCAACACTGCACGTTGTTTGTGTGTGCCATCAGCTGGACAAAATCCCTCTAGACCCCAAACCTGCTCTCCCTTCAAGGCTTTTAACATTTCAGTATGTCATTACAGTGGCTGTTGCTGGTTGAACTTCACGACTTTACAGTTAGTTACCCGAAGATACAGTGTGTTCACTCTCAGCTCTGTGCCAAGCCTGGTTTAGCACTTTGCTGTGACAATCAGCAGTTTATAACTGATGCTTTAGAAACAGTTTGATGGATTCGTGCTGCAAGTAGCTCTGTCCTTTTGGTTGATGGCTGACAACAAAAAAGGCACAGTGTGTCAGCACCACTGTAACTTTCTAATTTTGATGTTCTGAAAGAATTCTGTTCAGCTGAATTACACAATAATTGCTCTAAAAGGCTCAATATTTTTTAGGCTGCTTGAATGCCAAGGTCTCTTTATGTTAGGACAGCAAGATCACCTGTAGCATGTTTTTATAAATCTATGTAAATGTCTTTTTCTTTTACAGAAACCTGACATGAATGGCATTGTAAAACCACCTTTTCTAAGGTATATTTCTAACACTTTTAGAGTAATTTAGCTGTGTTGATTTTTATATTGGCTTATATTATCGATTGTAAGGGGAAATAAGGATGTTTATCATTAATTTCTCTGTGACCTTTCCCAGATACTAGTAAAACATTACAGCTAAAATTGGTTGCAGTTTCTCAAGAGTGGCATCAAATGAAGTGCAATGCAGAGGCCTTTCTCAGAAAAATGTGTTTTTCCAGCAGTTTGACAAGGAGCAGAACTTAACCTTTCTTTAACTGTCATTGAAGGCTAAACCAAAAATCTTTGAAGACTGGGAGCTGTTTAAAAAATGTCCAGATCTAACTGGGTATTAACTTCCCAAATTTTTGGACCTCTGCAAAGTGAATCTTCACATGTAACCTTGTTTCAAAAACTCAAGTTAAACTAAGAGTTGCACAGAATCCTTTAGTCTAAAATCCTAACTTACGGGAAGAAAGAGAAAAAAGTTTTTTACTCTAAGGGTGGTGAGACACTGGCACAGGTTGCCCAGGGAGGCTGTGGCTGCCCCAACCCTGGCAGTGTTCACAGCCAGGTTGGATGAGGCCTTGGGCAACCTGATCTAGTGAGGAGGTATCCCTGCCCAGGGCAGGGGGGGTGGGACTAGATCATCTGTAAGGTCTATTCCAGCCCTTAAATTCTATGATTCTATGATAAGAAGCTGAATGGTTTCAATTTGGGGTTGGATTGCAGCAAACCTTCAAAAGTAACTTTTGTGTATTTCTTTTCAGTGGAGAAAACCCTTTTGCAACAGTGAAACTCAAACCAACAGTAACAAATGACAGATCAGCTCCGATTATCCGATGAACATCTGGTCCAGATACTACTTCCTCCTTACAAACGCCCAGTTTCAGTGATGACAAATACTATCTCAACTTGTTCTAAGAAGTTATTTAAAAGTGTAATTACTGTACAATAGAAGCATACTGCAATGCAGCTCTGATGGGGTTTTAAACCTTTACTTTCCAATGAGGTAATTGCTTTGGGCTAGTGTTTGAGCACTTGGGCTTGATTTTACAGTATGCCTTTTTTGTAGTAGGAATTGTGAAAATACTGGAGGTAGTTTGGAACTCCAGCAAATCAGTGTAAGTAATAGCTCACAGACCTGAATCTCTGGCATTCATTATGTGGAAGCTGCAATGGTAAGTTCTAGAACACAAGCTGCATATGCCACCTACTAAAGAAGAGAATGATGATTTTTTTTTCCAACAGAACAGTGTAACATCTGCCTTATTCCAGAATAGAGAATTGCCTGTATAAATGATTATACATTATTTTGTTTAAAAGAGATACCTTAGGTTATAAATAAATATTTATCCTTTAAGAATAGATGACTTGTAATGCTTTGCTTAATGTTCACATGCAAATTTTCAAGTGTTAACAGAAACCCATTTTCAGTCTAATGCTGTACTGTCAACACATTCTTCGATGATAATTTTGTCTTTAAAACATGTTGTCAAACTTTAGTCTGATAAGTCATAATAAAGCAGTGCCATGATTTTTTCTCAAATGCCAATGTAAAAAGCTGCCTTTGAAGTCCCTCCATTGCTGCAGCCTCTCCAACAGAGAAACAGCTTAAGTCTGAAAGGTTTGGTGGAGCTGAACAAAGGCCTGAAAGCTACACAGTGCAGCACCTGAGTTAAGTGAAACAGAGCTTTTAACTTCAGCCACAAGCAGAGCTAAACAGGTTCTCACCTCAGGCTCAGACTTTCTAAGTCCAGTCAGCACGTCCTTTTTAATGATCACCTCAGACATTAGCCCAGAATGCTATAAACTGCCTGAGCCTGCATCAGCCCTGGCTGCTTCAGCACTGCACAGCTCAGGGGTATTTCCCACCTGTGATGAAGTCTGTACCATGACTGCTGCCAGTGACTAATCCTTACTCTAAATCATTCTACTTTACATGTGTCCATGCTTCCTAGATCATTCACTTTGTGGTGCTTACTTCTACTACTATACACAGTGAATGCAAGTCATGTGAAATGCCTTTCAGTTACTTAATATCAAAAAATAGTATATGAGCATGTGGTGGCTCCTCTTGCACTGTCATTCAAGACCAAGGACACTGGAGAGAACCCTGCATAAATATCCATCAGCCCAGCTGGAAACACCAACTTTTCAGAAGGGCAACTTACACCTGAGCCCATCTTCTAAAGCATATTAGAGGCAAGTCAACCTAGGCTGTATGAGCTTTCAGTAATTCAGAATTCAATAATCTGACAATGCAAAAACCTTTGCTGAGGTCAGCTCACAGCTGGCAGTACCCCAGACTCTCTCTAGAGACAAGTGCCCTGCTGCAGGCAGGAGGTGCTGCTGCCTGTGAACCAACACCAGCCCCTGCATAAAGCAAAACCTTCACTAACTAAAACAGAGCTCTGGCTGGTTGTTATTACTTGTGCCTTCAGAGGGGGAGAGGGGCTGTTAGAGTAGTGGTAGCACACACAGCACTTGCAACACTTTCCTCGATCATCTGATGTCCTTGAAAATAAACCCACATTTTCTCATGATAAGGATTCTGACAAATCCTTTGTTGTAGCTAGGATTACTAACTGCTTTCAGACTACATGGTATCAGTCACATACTTAATAATCCAGCCACAAGTTGAGGATTGCAAAAGGAAAAGCAGTTTTATTTAGTTTTCAACAGGTGCCACTAAACATGGAAAACAAGTCAGGTTTTCATGTTTTGCAATGCACATGCTCATAAAAGATTAGGTTTAAATTACATGCAAGAGACTAAATTTCTTCACACTTTACAAAACAGGTCTGAAGCAAATAAAATGATTGTACATGACATTTACATTAGAAAGAGTATGCTAACAGGTGTAGCTTCCGAAAGCACGTCCACGTCCAGCCCCTCAGCCAAAAGCTGCCCCACAATTAGGGCATCTTCTCTGCCTCAGTGCAAGGCAGAACAGAATCCCAATTGGAAAGAATACAATGGCACACAAAACACCAAGACAGGTGAAGGTGTCCTCCAACACGCCAACCCTGCAAAAAGGGAAAACAGACTCAGTCAAGGACACCCACCAACTTTGTCCCCAAGTTACCACTTTGTGATTTGGCAGTCACTAAAAACCACAACATTTTATAAGGCAAGAGAAAGTACAAGGTTTGAAGTTTGATCCTGGTTTCTACTTCCAAAATGATGTCCCTTTAGAACTGTAGAGAACCAACTAGTGATGTCACCTGACTCCAACTGAGTCCCACCTTCATGACCACCCACATGAGAAATTCTGTGTCAGCAGTCCTGTGACAGCAGAAATGTACCTCAGTTTCAGTCCCTGACTGTGTTCTAAAGTGCTGTAGCTGAGCTTCTCCCAAAATGAAAACAGACACTAAAGCCTGAGCATTCAGACTTAAGAAATTTAAGCAGTTACACTAAATAGGCAAAATTTGGAGTTTAGCAAAACACTCAAATAAGATGTATCCTCTTAGGTTCCCTGGTACAGTGAAAGTCAACAAACAGAGTTAAGTGACCCTGGACTACATGCTACAACCAAAGTGCCAAGGCCAACAAGCTGCTGTTTCCCTCAGAGCAGTCACAGACAGTCCATTGTACATGTCAATAGAGCAAAGGAAGGAAGATGCAGGCTCAGAGACCATTTCCTTTCTGCAACTGGCTGAAACACTGCAACTTGATTAAATTTAAGAACCAGTCCCCTTCCCCTCAACCATCATCAGAAGCCAAAGGCTTTTCAAAGTGTTCTTGATATTCTGCTGCTTATGCAACTTCATGTTCAGCTTAAGCTTTCCCTTGTTTTAATGCATTTTATTTGTTTGCAGTAGTGTTGGGACAGAAGTCAACTCTCTATCTGGTATAAAGGTACTGTCAGGGCCTCACTGATCCCAGCAGTAGTTTTACCATTTCACATCCTCAGAGAACACTCCTTTAAGGCAACAAATTAAAAGCTGTACACTAATGCTCAAATCACCACATGGATTCCAGTCTCAGCACACAAGTGTCCCACAGCTCAGATTTGTGCAGCCTGTGCTGGTCATTGTGGCTACTCCCACAAACTCAGCAGAACATCCCCCCTGGTCCCTGCAAGCCAGGCAGTCCCACAGCTCCAGCTATCCAGGCAGGCACTTTGTTTTGCCACAACAATGCAAGATTACTCTTGAACACCTGTGTGTCCAGAGAGATAAGAACAGTGAGAGATCAGCTCTGCAGAAGTTCCTGCTTTTATGACACTCACCAGGATTTCAGACCCGACCACTTTTCCCATAGCTGGATCACATTTTGTAGTTAGTTTCAGTGGGGTGGGCACTGCTGTTCTTTCCCCACACAAAGCACTTCAGAAAGCCTTCTCAGATATTGAAGTTTCACCCCTCTCTCCAGAACCTTTCAGCTCCTATTCCCACACCTCTGTCACCAATAGTCACAAATCCAGCTATCAAAACTGACCTAAGATAAATCCTAAAATGTACCCATAGTACTGCCCAAATTCCTACAACCACCTTTCTCCAGGATGGAATTGCCATAGTCAGCACACTGATACAGTCAGCCCATGTTGTAGGAGACAATGGTTCTGGTGTGTCACCCACAGATACTATTGCTAACACCAGAAGAACTAAAAACCCTAATATTTACTGAGTACTTTGTACAAGAGTTGTGCTTTCATTGGTGTCTTATTCTCCAGCTGAAGCAATAACAATGCTTAAGTAATGTAGCATAAGATAACATTTTCTTCTTGACAAACTGATTTGTTTACATCTCGAGAAGGACAGGACAGTCTCCACCACCAAGACCTAAACCCAAACACACTGCCCTGCCAGGCAGCTGGGCCAGCTCACTGCTGGGGCTGTACTGGAATCAAACTCCTGGTTCCTGCCACAACGAGCTGCTGCCTGGCAGGGTGTCTGGAGGCAACAGAGTTCCAGTTTTGTTTCTGCTATTTTACTCCTCGTCCTAACACTGATCATCAGCCACAGACACTCTGCAGCAGCAAGAGCAAGTTTCTTGGAAACAGCACTGTGGATTGTCTGTGATGCAGGTTCCCAGAGCTCTCTCTGTGGGTCAGGCTTGGCAATGTCTACATCTGCCCACCTGATGTCACAAGCATTTCCTGTGATGGTGACCAACAGGGATCTGTGTGTCACCGAGCAGCTTTTACACCTCTGCTGGCTGGCAAACAGCACTCAGAGGACACAGACACTGGATTTCCACAGCTTGGTTAATATTTCATTTTAGTCTGTACCTAGTGTTCTGCTACAAAGAACTTTAGCCCAGGATTCCCATCAGAGCAGTGCCTGCTACCCTGCCCCTCTCACCACAAAGTGAAACACCAAAGGGGAAACCAGTCAGAGGGGACAGTCCTGCTGGGGAAAGAAGTATGGAAGGAGTTACTGAAAATCAATGAACAGAACAGCAGCCATTGTCACTACTAGAAAAAAGGCAAACAGCATAGAGGCATGTCAGGAAGTGAACTTTTCCCACATGATATGGATTATTAATGCTACATCCAGACCACTATGTACAACTTTAGCCCTAATTTAAACAGAAAAAAAAGGAAAAATATGTGGACTAATAAGTATCAAAAGGAAAAAAAATACAAAAGAAAACATAGGTCCTATCAACTTACCCTTGCTACCCAACTCTCAAGTCCTAATCCCAAACCAGTTTTTAGACTATTAGCCTGTTCCAGGAAACATCAAAATCTGCTTGCTAGGTTGAGTTCAGAGCACACTAACCCAAGCAGAGATGATTTTATCAGACTGACTTTTAAAGCAGAGCTGAAGAGCCTCACATCAACCCTTGCTTCCAGAGATTTCCCACCAGCTGTCCTGCCTGAGCACATCACTGTGTATGATGGGGGTTATTTAGCATGGCTCACAGCCCACAGGAAAGCTTCAGCACAGTTCCTCAGCTGTACAATCTCTTTATCTAGGACATATCTGGACAGTAAAACTGTAAAATTACACTGCAAGTGACCCTCCAACCAGACTGCAGTTAAAGAATGGAGTCAGTACAAGGCTTTCATACCATTGCCTTCATTTGCCAGGGAAAAGATGTGCTACTCGAAGTGCCATCTCCCGGGAAGACTCTGCTACTAGGGCTGGAATGCAAAGTGATTCAGAACTGTTGAGACAGCCAGAGCACTTACAGACACAGGGGCAAAAAGGACACTGTATTGTTCAACCAGAACTGCCAAGCCTGGATGCAGCACTTGAGTTTGGCCATTTCTATTTGCGGAAAGGCACAAAACACTGAACACCCTCAGACCAAACCCAAACCAGCAGCAGAAGCTCAGGAGGTGAGGCCTCTCCATCTCCTCTGTCCACAGGTTAACCCCTACACTCTATGTAGGGAGAGGCTCAGACACACTCTGGATGATCCGAGTCATTCAAGATTCAAGCAGCTTTCAGTACTACAGACCCATCCGAGAAAGGCAAAGCCACTTTTCCAGGCATTTCAACAGCATCAAAACCAACACGACTTTGGAAATGCACATGTGCAGCACACAGCACACAGTTAAGGCTGTTTTATTTCCTGCCTTGCTTTGCTGTCACACTAATGCCTTCTTTTTCCCTTCACACACACTGAGCATCCCCCTCCTGCAGGCATTCGGCTCCTGCTTTGTGACTGCTTTGAAATCATCTCCTTGTCTCTTAATAAATCCATATTCAGTTCCTGCCCCGAAACCTACATTTGTGACAAGTAAGCCAGTGTGTTTAGTTAAGAGTATAAGCAGCCTATTGATGTGACCTTAAAGAATAAACACACTAATTAAACATTAGAGAGGGATCAATCAGGGTACTTCTGGTCAGCCCCACGCAGCGATGACCCCTGCCTGACCCCTTACAATCACCCCTCTTAATCAGCTTGCAAGGCCCAAGGCTATTGGTCAGCAGATGTCCCTGACACTGTAAATAGAATTTATTTTAAACTCCCTTCCCCTAAATGGAGTTATTCAGGAAGTGTTCTGTGGTACTGCAAAATGCCTAGTAAATGAAAAACAACAATTAAAAAACTGCAATCCATACTCAACTCCAGACCCAGGGAGGGACAAAGCAAGGCACAGGGAGCACTGCTGGGTCAGCACTGGAGGAAGGGCAGGGGCAGCAGAGCAAGGCAGCTCCAGGGGACACTCACTGGGAAGCTGACCAGAACTGTGTCTGCATGACCTCCACTACACACCTGTTGCTTCAGAGCCAGTTCCTGTCACATCTACAACACTCTGATTGCTGAAGCATTACCTACACAAACACTTTTTGGCTTCTGTTGATTTGTGTCACCACCTAATTTTAGATGAGCACTTACCCAATCACTGCTTAGCCAGTTACTAAATATAAAAGGAGAAAAAAAAAAAACTTTTTATAAGGACACTGAATATTTCAGATTTTGTTGTGTATCTTACCTGAGCTGCAGAGTAATTAAGAGACTCCATGATCAAACTGTAGATTCACTAACGTAACCAAACATAAATTTTCTTCTACAGCATAAACCACATAAAAGCTGATTATAACTGCACTACTCCCACTCTAAAAATAAAGTGGAAAGGTTTATTTATACTGCAAGCAGCATCTTGGATTTAAGCTGTAACTGCAGCTGCCAATTCCATAAAGTAAGGTCAATTATTCCCACTGACAAGTATTTAAAACCAAATTATTTTTCAGACAACCCCTTTTTCAAAGTAAGTCTTAAAACATTAAGATCTTAAGTCAAGTGCTCAGGATCAGAGGGCCAATAATGAGATCTGTGAACAAAGCATCAGTTTGATTTAACACATGCAGTTTGAGACTTATCACTACATCACAGTATTTAAACCTGAGCTTATCAGCATTTTTCAGCCCTTACAAATACAGTCAAAGGGCCACCCCAGGTAATCAGAGACAGGCTGGTTGTACAACACACTCTGCAAGACCTGAAAGGAAACTGCACTTGAGAAGAATGCTGTCCTCTACACAGATACTCCCTCACTGATCAACCACCTGGAATTTTCAAGGCAGTATCCCAATCTCCTGCCACTGAGGTTGGTTGAGTTTCAATCTTCAGATTTCAATAGAAACATCAGACCAGGGACAACCAT